CTTCGCTTGTTCTTCACAACATTGGCCTTTTCCGTTATTGGACCCCTTTCTTGGACTCGTCTTCCTGGATTTTGTCCACGTTGCGTCGACATCGTTTACTGTTTGACCAAAAACTTACAATTCTTTCCTACAGTCTTTGACATCATCTCCAGCCACAGCTTTCAGCTGTGCCTAAAATCGACAGTCAAGATGACGACCATGGTTAGTATTTACATCAATGCATCCTTCGACCCTTGTACATTGTACTAATGTAGTCACAACACAGGATTTGCGAGTCGGTAATAAATACCGTATCGGCCGTAAGATCGGAAGCGGTAGTTTTGGTGACATCTATCTCGGTATGGCACTGATACTTTTTGAGGAAGTCGGCCCGTGAGCAACAGCTTACAAAAAGATACAGGTACCAACATCATCTCTGGGGAGGAAATTGCCATCAAGCTCGAGAGTGTCAAGGCCAAGCACCCCCAGCTCGAGTATGAAGCTCGGGTTTACAAATCGCTCGCTGGTGGTGTTGGAATCCCGTTTGTCCGCTGGTTCGGTACCGAATGTGACTACAACGCCATGGTCATCGACCTCTTGGGTCCCAGTTTGGAGGACCTTTTCAACTTCTGCAACCGCAAATTCTCCCTGAAGACTGTGCTTCTCCTGGCGGATCAACTCATCTCCCGAATCGAGTACATACACGCCAAGTCCTTCATCCATCGTGATATCAAGCCCGACAACTTCCTGATGGGTATCGGCAAGCGTGGAAACCAAGTCAATGTGATTGATTTTGGTCTTGCCAAGAAGTACCGTGATCCCAAGACGCACTTCCATATCCCATACCGCGAGAACAAGAACCTCACCGGAACGGCCCGTTACGCTAGTATTAACACTCACCTCGGTGTTGAACAGTCTCGTCGTGATGATATGGAATCTCTTGGATACGTCATGCTCTACTTCTGCCGTGGCACTCTCCCTTGGCAGGGATTGAAGGCGGCCACCAAGAAGCAAAAGTACGACCGTATCATGGAAAAGAAGATGACCACTCCGACCGAGGTCCTCTGCCGTGGATTCCCCAACGAGTTCTCCATCTACCTGAACTACACTCGCTCCCTGCGTTTTGATGACAAGCCTGACTACTCCTACCTCCGCAAGATCTTCCGCGACCTGTTCGTCCGCGAGTCCTACCAGTACGATTACGTGTTCGACTGGACCGTCTACAAGTACCAGAAGAACGCTGCTATGATTGCGGACGCTACCAATAACAAGAAGGACAAGGAGGCTGACGGCCGCCAAAATGCAGCTGCAGCTCAGGCGCCCATGGCTACCCCTGCTACTGCTGCCAAGCCTGGTGCTATCTCCAGCCAGCGTCGCAAGGTCCTCGATCACAGCACGCTCAACAACACCCCTGACACCAACCGTGCTATGGGAGGGAGTGACAGGATGTGAGTATCTGAAACCTAGGTTCCGTGTAGGGAACCCCTTTCCTCTGCGTTTGGTGTTCAAGATCCGCTCTGCGCGTGGAGGGCCTTTTCAGTTTTCAGAATCTGACTAATCTCATAGTCTTCGGCATTAGGCTGCGCTCTGCTTCCAAGGTTGCTGCTTCAGGTGCTTATGGGCCTGCCGGTAGCCGTGCGAAGCGGGACGATGGATACGGTGCTCAGTGGTACTAATTGTGCAGCACGGCAGCGTAGCTTGATTTTACTCGTCTTTTGATCGTATTTCAGCTTCCTGCATGCCAACAACTTACACCAACTTTGAAGCCCGGGACCTCCTGTCATCACGGTACCTATCTGCATCGTGCAGCAATCTTCTCGGACTTCTTTTGCCTTGGATCTCCATTCTTTTTTTCCTTTTGTTGTTCCCATGCACTCTATCAGCCCTTTATCCAGTCCCGATCGTCTTTCGATCTACAACGCTTCGACGGACCGCTCATCGTTCTCAACTTCGCGAGTTCGCTTATCAGTGTTTCGTGTTTTCACTCGGTGGAGGCTTTTCTTTCAACGCTCGACAGCCCCACTATTTTCACGACTTCTGTACTCGATCCGCGAACGATTTTTTGAAGGGAAATCGATAGCAGCCTCGAAATGCCTTTTACTGCGGCTATATTTTACCCTTTTGCCCACCTTGGTCCAGTCACTCGAATTCATATTTGAATCGAGATTTTCAGTCCCAGCAATTTGCCGGGTGGGTTGGGTGATAAGAGATGCATAAACGGGATCATCAGTATTGTGACGAAACGACTTTATCGGAATACCGACAAATGTCACTGGGGATCCTCAAATTGATCATCTACTGTCCTGTTTCAATACTTTTCCAACCCCATCTTGCTCTTGCACTTCCCATCGTCTTCTTATGTCCTGCATGCTTTCATGTACTTTCCATCGTTTTGCTTGTGAGTTATCGACGTGTCAACAGGGGACGATGACAGAACGAACGACCTGCGATGATGTGGTGGAGACGGCAGTTTCTGGGTGTCTACTTTTGACGCCCCTGCTGTTGTCCTTTTCAACAAACTTATCTCACGACTGTCCGGTTATGAAGATTATGGGACGACTTGCAGTGGGTCAGGCACGAGGGAAATGCGTCTCTGCGTTTGGGTATTTGGCGACGGAAAATGGCTAGGGTCGCTTCCGGGGTGGTATCACGTCGATTTGTGTTTACTTTAACGGCATCTTATGGCTTTGATTTGTTCTTCTACGCTCTCTCGCATTGTGTCCAGGAGGCAGGCAACCTGTGAGGATCCATCGCGAGCCAACTCGAAAGCTATCGGCTAGGGTCTCTCAAACTGTCTCTTCGTTCACTCAGATAATATTTCAGTCTTTTGTCGTGAATCAATTTCCTTCGTCTTTGCAGTATCACTGTGTTGGCACTGTCGTAATTGTCTATAGCTCCTTTTGTGCCTTGGGGATTTGACGTAGTAAAGAACTCACACTGTCATGGAGCGGTGACATCGATAAGCTACCTGAGAGTTCTTGTGCTCGATTCGGTCGGATTATCAGGGGCAGTTCCCTTAGTTGACATCGACAATTGGAGCTGCCATGATGTCCCTCTGGCCTGAACTGAACCCACCCCGCGTTGCTCCGAAGTGCTTTCTATATCTACATCTACATCATCATCATTATGATTACGCAGAATCATGCCATGCTTTTTAAAAGCTTGTCTCAATTATGCGGAGCGGCGAAATTTTGGTTGCTTTGCGTCCATGTTGTTCCTTTACTCTTAGCTTCTTGGGCTCTCCCAACAAAAGCAATTCCAAGGCTCAGCCCCATAAAAGCCGTCTCCGTACCATCCTGACCGCTGTCCCTCATCGATAAGAGGAAGCATCTCAGCAATTTTATCAACATTGTATTTTCACCTTCTCTCTCTTCGGCCGATTATCTACTGCAAGAAGACGTGCTTTAGTTGAGAGAAGTGCAGAGATATGGATTACTCATTTTATTCCAATTCTCAGTCACAGCAGCCATTCCCCATCTACGATCTCCACGGACTACCAACACCCGATCCGAACAACCCAGCCTCTACTGGCGATGATCTCAATGATCCATTTACTTCTCTAGTTGTTTCCCTACGTTGCCGATTATGCTGAACTGATACTAATACTGTCCCATCCTAGAACTATCATCCATTCGATCCCTCCTTTCGCAGTCAGAACAACGCCACCGCCCCTTCGTCCTTAGTCCCTCCACCGCACTCTCCACCTGAATCCTTCTCCAAACACTCGGTTTCGAGCAATGATTTCCCCAATATCCATGCGGAGCCTGGATCCGTCGAAGGCGGCGATGACCAACTCCAGCATCGGAGCAGCAGCGAGGAAAAGGACAATCTGACTCCAGCACAAAGTAAACGCAAGGCACAGAACCGAGCTGCGTATGTGATCCATTCGTTCTTGTGAAAGTGTTAGGGCTGCAATACCCCCGCGCTGGAAGCATGCTGTGGAATAAGTGCGGCTAACATATCTCCGGATCGGTGCCTCCAGTCAACGAGCGTTCCGCGAACGAAAGGAGCGTCATGTCCGTGAACTGGAAGAGAAAGTCAGCACGCTCGAGCAAGAATCCACCACTCTAGCCGCGGACAACGAACGGCTGAAGCGGGAACTGGCCAAGTACGCAACGGAGAATGAGATTCTACGGGCTACCACGGGCCAATTGGCGAGTTCGCAAGGCCGTCATCTGGACTCGGAGCCGACCGTCACAGGCCCGATGAAGTACACCCCTACTGACTTTTACTCGAATCTTGTGCCGAAGGGGGAGCCGGCGCCTACGCATCGGGTGACGATCTGCGAAAAGACGGGGGAGAGGCTCCTCGATGCCGGAGCGACCTGGGATCTTATCCAGGGGCATGAACTTTACAAGCAGGGTCTTGTGGATATTGGCGATGTCTCTAAGCGGTTGAAGGGGTTGGCTCAGTGTAATGGACAGGGTCCGGCGTTCAGGGAAGGCCAGGTGCTTCGGGTCATTGAGGCGAGCGCTGCGGCTGGCCGCGATGAATTGATATGATCTTGGCAGAGGCGAATTTGGGCCCAGCTATGCTATGATTTTGAAAATGTAATTTTGGTGCGTTTGGAAGCTGATTGCGGGAGGATATGGCGCTATGTCGAGGGGTGTTATTTGGCGCAGGAATCGTGTCTGGGATCGGTATACGCTTATCAATTAATCTCGTTTATCTTCATCAATGCGCACATGTGTGCTGGTATGGGATACGAAGTAATGATCGCCGAGAATGCTAGCGTTTGACTTTGGACTGAATGGTTCACAGTTTGTTATATACATGCTTGTATTCATGAAGGACAACTGCGCTTTCCCCAGTCACCTATCCTTTGACATGAACTTAAAGTCTCAATCTGTAAATGAAGGTGAGTTGATCAACAACCCCAGTTGACCCGTATCATTTTTGGGTGTGTCCCATATTTAACGTATGCATCGTATGAGTGTAAAAAGGATCGACGAACCGTTATCGTATAATCAGCATGACAAAAGCAATCTTGTACTAGAATATAATTCGCAGTCATTGTTCTCTTAGTCCCAATCATCGTCGTAATCTTCGACGTTCGCATTCCTGATGTTTGATGGACGCTCCTCGTCGAAGGAGTGAGATCGCTTCTTTAGACGGACATCGCTCTCTTTCAAAGCACCCAGGTCCACTAGCATTCGCTCAAGGTCTGCGAGACAACATCAGCCAACTTCTATACGACACTAACCATCAACAAACGCACCTTCAAGCTTAGTCTTGGGTCCATTGAGCTCCCGTAATGTGACAAGCTGCCTTCTAATCTCTCCGTCCTTGTATACTAGAATGGTCGGCGTATTCCGCTCCGGATACCCTTCAATGCACATATCGCCGCGGATCTCACAGAATTTAATGTCGCCGAATTTCATAGCCAGTTGACGCCACAGGTCGGACAGGATCCGCGACTCGGCGTTCCCGCTGGTGGATGTGAGGTGGACGAGCACGAAGGATTTGCTGGAGGCTTCTGTTACCTCGCGGGCGTAGTCGACTTTTTGTAAGGGGTAGACTTGGTTGTAGATGCTGGTTTTTTGGAGGGTAGAGAGTTCGGCGAGGCGCTTTTGGCTGGATTCTTGGTCAGTACCTGAAAGCTCCAAAGCCCGCAGCTGGGATACCGGGGTTCTCATGGTTGACGCCGTACCGGTATTGTTCGAGGAATTCATCGTCTTCTTCATCTTCGAGATCGTGCAGCTCGTCTAGGTCTTTGTCTTCGAGTCTATTCTCGTATGCTTTTCGTTCGGCCTCCACGAGGGCCTCTTGGATCAATGGTTCAGGGTCCTGGGGCTTTTCGGGGATAACGCCATGCTTGCGGAGAATGTCATTCCTAGGGTGGGGTGAGTGATTATCGGGGCTTTGGTGAGGGAATTACGGAGAGTGATTTGCCTACCATTCAGTATCCTCGTTGGGGTCTACTTGGACTTCCATGATGAGAAGAAGTAATTTGATCTGTCGTGAGAAATAGAAATCGCAAGTTTAGATAGATGATAGCTCCAATGCAATTGTTTGTTGAGGCTCCCGAGTATTTGGGACGATGCTATGATGCATGCCGCGTGTTTGCTCTGTTTGCAGCATCAGCCACGGTGGCTAGAGCACCCACAGACGCGGAAGGCCACCTGGAGATTGTACAATGGGCATCGGGAGCTGCTTTGGCAACAACCTCTCCATTCATGCTCGATTCTCCCTTGGAACAGGGTCAGTAGCCTTGCCTTGAGATTGGACACTGCTCCTACTGGCCTGGCCTTTTGCTTTTCCCTCTTTTAACCTCACCTTTCGCGGATAATGAGGGCGCGTTAATCGTTTACACCGCCTGCACACCCAATTGCTACTGACTTACCCATCATACTTACCCGCCCGTCCTTATTCCATTGTTGACCCCGGCGTCACCTTTACCGGTAACCTACACAAGAAGAGGGTATCAGAACAGAACTCTCCGCTGCTGTTGGATCAGCAGCTTCGTTCACCATGAGCTATATCAAAAAGGATGAGGACGCTGATCAAGTCATGATCAAGCTTGATCGGACCTCCGTCTTCCAAGATGGTAAGGGGATTATCGGTTCCCCTGAAGATGCTACCAAACTACCATGCAATTAACTAATTATGTTCTTCCTTTTGCCGGTTGATAGCACGTCTCTTCAATTCCTCTCCAATTTCTCCACGAAGATGTCGAACCCTCCTGACCAAGATCGCTGTCCTCATGTTTACGGGGGAGCAATTCCCCACGAACGAGGCGACCACGCTATTCTTCGGCATTTCGAAACTGTTCCAGAACAAGGATCCTTCCCTGCGACAAATGGTCTACCTTATTCTGAAAGAACTCGCAAATACGGCCGAGGATGTCATCATGTCGACAAGCATTATCATGAAGGATACCGCCGTCGGTAGCGACGTCCTCTACAGAGCAAACGCCATTCGGGCTCTGTGCCGCATTATTGATGTGAGCATCATTTGTTGTACTACATTTTTTAAGCTTAGCAGCTGATGCAATTTCTAAAGGCCACCACCGTGCAAGGTATCGAGCGATTGATCAAAACCGCTATTGTCGACAAGACGCCTTCTGTCTCCTCCGCCGCACTGGTTTCTTCATACCACCTCCTTCCCATTGCGCGCGATGTCGTCCGTAGATGGCAGAGTGAGACGCAGGAAGCTGCATCCGCATCGAAGCAGGCGACCGGTTTCCTTGGCTTCGGGGGCAGCTCTTCGACCCACGCTATCTCGCAATCAAACTTTATGACCCAATATCATGCCATTGGTCTCTTGTACCAGATGCGTTCGCATGATAGGATGGCGTTAGTGAAGATGGTCCAGCAGTATGGAGCAGCGGGTGTTGTTAAGAGCCCCGCCGCGCTGGTATTGTTGGTGCGGTTAGCAGCGAAGTTGGCGGAGGAGGATCCAGGCCTGAGGAAACCGATGATGCAGATGCTTGATGGCTGGCTCCGGCATAAGCATGAGATGGTCAACTTTGAGGCGGCAAAGGCAATCTGCGATATGCGCGATGTTACCGATGCGGAAGCGTCCCAGGCTGTTCATGTCCTCCAGTTGTTCCTCTCTTCTCCCCGCGCCATCACCAAGTTTGCAGCCATTCGTATCCTCCACAACTTTGCCAGCTTCAAGCCTCATGTTGTCAATGTGTGCAATCCTGACATTGAATCTCTTATCTCCAACTCCAACCGTTCCATCGCCACTTTCGCCATCACAACACTGCTCAAGACTGGCAACGAGGCCAGTGTTGATCGTTTGATGAAGCAGATCTCTGGTTTTATGGCTGATATCACGGATGAGTTCAAGATCACTATCGTCGAAGCTATTCGGACTCTCTGCTTGAAGTTCCCCAGCAAACAGGCCGGTATGCTAGCGTTCCTCAGCGGCATACTCAGGGACGAGGGTGGATATGAATTCAAGCGGAGTGTCGTTGAAAGCATGTTCGACCTGATTAAATTCGTTCCTGAGAGCAAAGAAGATGGTGCGAACTCCCCAACCCTACTTCCTTCTCCTTTTAACCTTGTTGTTTGGCAACCCAACTAACAATAACTAGCCCTTGCCCACCTCTGCGAGTTTATCGAGGACTGTGAATTTACCAAATTGTCGGTCCGAATTCTGCACCTTCTCGGTGTAGAAGGGCCCAAGACATCTCATCCCACTAAGTACATTCGCTACATTTACAATAGAGTCGTCCTGGAGAATGCTATTGTACGAGCTGCCGCTGTCACGGCCCTGGCCAAGTTTGGCGTCGGACAGAAGGACCCTGAAGTGAAATCCAGTGTCTCCGTCCTTCTTACACGCTGCCTTGACGACACGGATGATGAGGTACGAGACCGAGCTGCTCTCAATCTTCGTCTTATGGCGGAAGAGGACGAGATGGCCGAACGATTTATTAAGAACGGTATGTATAAAGTCGTTTGATTTCAACCTGCTATGTTCGGTAACTTACATAACTAGATTCTATGTTTTCACTTTCTACGTTCGAACACCAGCTTGTCATGTACGTGACATCAACAAGCAAGGAGACATTTGCCGCGGCTTTCGACGTTTCCACGGTTCCTGTTGTCACACAAGAACAAGCATTGGCCGAAGAGAGAACCAAGAAGCTCACGACAGCAACTCCCACCCTCAAGGCTCCTTCTGCCGGCCCTCCCAAAGGCAAGGCCAACGGCGTCGCCGAGGCGGCAACCGCAGCGGCAACTCAGAAATATGCCGAGCAACTCATGCAGATTCCAGAGCTCAAGGCATACGGAACTTTGCTCAAGTCCTCTGTGCCTGTAGAGCTTACTGAGAGCGAGACGGAATACGTGGTGACAGCCGTCAAGCATGTTTTCAAGGAGCACATTGTGGTGCAGTACGACATCAAGAACACTCTGCCCGATACGGTTCTTGAGGACGTGACGGTAGTCGCCACTCCTTCCGAGGAAGAGGTCCTGGAAGAAGAGTTCATCGTGCCCGCTCCCAAGCTGGCTACAAATGAGCCTGGTATCGTATACGTCACCTTCAAGAAACTCGCCGGCGAACACAGCTTCCCTGTCACATCATTTACAAATATCTTGAAATTTACCAGCAAGGAGGTCGACCCTACAACCGGCGAGCCGGAGGATAGCGGATATGAGGACGAGTATCAAGTCGAGGACTTGGAGCTTACTGGCAGCGACTATGTCATTCCCACGTTTGCCGGCAGCTTTGACCACGTCTGGGAGCAGACCGGTGCGAACGGGGAGGAAGTCAGCGAGACTCTACAGCTCAGTAACATGAAGAGCATTTCAGGTGCGTCTCGAATTCGACGTTTCAACGTGAATCCAACTCGATATACTGACTTTGACTGCAGATGCCACCGAGCAATTGATCACTGCCCTTTCTCTCCAGCCTCTAGAAGGCTCAGATGTGGCCCTTAGCAACAGCACACATACGCTCAAGCTCTTCGGAAAGACTGTGTCAGGTGGTAGGGTTGCAGCTTTGATCAAGATGGCTTTCTCAAGCAAGACGGGTGTCACTACCAAGATCACCATCCGAGCGGAGGAGGAGGGTGTCACTCCTGCTGTCATGGCAGCCCTTGCTTAAGGTTGTATATTGTAATGGGTACACGTTCCAGCAGGCGTGCACTAACGACGGATTCTGCATTTTCATGAGACCAGAACCATTTCCTGCGTTTTCTTCCTCTTTCCTTCAATTGCCAGTTTCTACCTATAATTGAGGTGTCAAGCTAGAGGCGATGATTATTTTTGTGTAGTTGCCAAAACCCGTTATCCACTTGGTTCCTACATATCTGTCCTTTTTCTTTGACCTTCTATCCCATATCCTCTATTTCGTCGTTTTCTGGACGTTCAGTGTCCCTGGTTTCCTCTCTCTTGTCGCGCTACCGTCCCAGGAGGGCAGTAGTATGACTCAGGGGGACCTTAGTTAGACCCTGAGTGTACTTAGTCGTTGAAGAAACAAAATGGATCAAAAATGTTTCAAGTCCCCGTTTCATACCTGTCGACCAACCCTGTACAGTGAGACACATTGTAGTCGTGAAAGAATTCGTTATGGTCAGGCCTTTTTGATACCACACCTTATTTTCTCTGGATGAAGCCATTCCACAGAAATTCAGGGTCGACAGCTGTCCGCGAAGGACTCGCCACGATAAGACTGGCAGCACTCTAGATTGATCTCTTTCTGACCTTGTTGTCTGACCAAACATCTTTGTTATCTTTCCAGAGTTAAGTTTGCCAGCGCTTCGAGCTTTTGTCCGATTTTACTGCTCATCGGGAGAATGATATATAGTATACACGTCGAGAAATTCCCCATGAACAACCCTGCATCCCTACTTATGAAAGGAAACTTTGTCTGAATGAGCTTCGGGAGATTGATGATTCAAGCGTCGGAAAATCTTACATAGCATAAATTGTGGGCTTGTCAGCCGGTACATGGTAAACGGGCCATGTATTTGATGGTACATTATTGATACATTCATTCTAGCTGTGGAGCAACTGTGTCTAGAGTATATGACGTTGACAAAACGTAAAAATATATGCTGTAAGTTCATACTGGTGAAAGTCACTTTTGTCATCATGGAGGCAACAGTGTTCCCAGGTCATAAGTCATTATCATGAATCGTCTGCGGCGTGTATATGCAACCTCATAGAATCAGAGAGCCATGCCAGTCACATGTAATATACGCCGACTTCAGTTTCGTCGACCGCGGTCGGCGCACCTTGTTCAGCTATCTGCTTAGCATGTTTATGAAGGACATCGTCAACTTCTTCGTCTTCGACAATGCGCTCGTCGGTGCAGAATATATCCGAAAATCCGATGGAGCGGACGTTACTCAGGCCTTTGTCCAGCGCCATGATTAAGGACGCTGTTTCAAAATGGAGTACCGGGTCCAAATTGGGCATGTCGAACTCGAGCACTTCAAGAGCCAAGGGCGGGGACATGAAGTATAGGACATCGAAGAACGT